AGCAGCTGGCGGCTCCCTCTGGCTGGCAGCGTAGTGGCCTCTTGTTGTTAGGGCTGAAGAGCCCCGCGTGCTCCGAACGCAGCGCGAAGTACACACTTGGTGTCCTTTAGTGGGTGGAAAAGGGGAGCGCTCGGTACCCGAGGGCATCGCATGGTGAGTGCCAGCGGCGAGCGGCTGCCTGGGCTCTGGGAGGCAGGCGTGTGGCCGTCCCTTCCCGTGCCCGCTCCTCTGTCTCACCGTGCTGCTTTCATGAGTTGCACCCCTGTCCTCAGGCAGAAATCAGCCTCTCGCTGGCATGAAGGATGCCACCGCTCCTCTGTGGATGGGTGGGCAGTTTATTGCCTTTCTTTGTGTTTAATTTAAAAACTGGAAACTTGTTTCACTGGCTTTTTTTTTTTTTTTTTTTTTTTTTTTAGCTATGAAAGGGAAAAGGCTTTAACTTCCTCAGTTGTATTTATATTGCTGCACTACTGATTTGTGTTGAGCTGGATGAAGATTAAACACTATTGAATGCGAGGGAATATTCCCTCGCTGAATGTAGTCATGGCTGCTGCTAAGTTTGTTTTTCTGGGCAATCAGCTGCCTTCCCCAGGCACCAGCACGGGGGCCTGCTGCTCTCCTGAGCACCGAGGCATCGGCCTCGTGCCCTCCCGGCCCCGCCAAGCACGGGGCTTTGCCTCTCCCTGCGTCACGCCGTGGGCCACCCTCCGTCCCCTGCCTCGCGTGCAGCTGGTGCTCCCCGCCGGGCTCCCCCTTCCCGGGCTGCTCCCACACCCGCTCTCCCAACAGCTCCTTCCCTCCCAGCCCGGGACCACACAGGGGGATGGCTGATACTGGGGTGCTCCCTGTGTGCCTCTAAGGGGCTCAGCCCGGTGCTGGCGCAGCCGCTGTCACGGGCTCTGCCATGGCCGGTGCTGGCGCAGCCGCTGTCATGGGCTCTGCCATGGCCGGACGCTTAACTCTTGGCTGACACCACCCTCTGATGCGTTTCCCTTCACTTGGATGCAAGATGAACAAACTGTGAGAAAATGAGGTTTTGAAGCTGCAGGGATCGATCAGCCGTGGTCCTGGGTCCGTGCTGGGAAGCGTTTTGTGCTGTTAGAGGGGAGCCGTCGGGCTCTCGCTGATTCTGGTCCTTGGGGCTTGTGCTTTTTGAGCCTCTCGCTCCTGCCCGTCTGGGGAAGTCCCCCCTGCAGCAGCGCGGGGCTGGGTGCAGCAGTTCAGCCATCGGGCATTCGCTGCTGCCGTCGTCTTGTTACGGAAGAGGGAAGGATTAAAGCCTCTGCAGCTGTTACGCCAGCACCTTTCTTTAGCCGAGGTTGTTTCCTTCCTCCTTACATTTCACTGTGGGGTGACAGACGTTTGGGTTGGGGTGCTTTAGCCAGCTGGCAGCACTGCCCGCCAGGGCTGGACTTGGCGGTGGGCTGCGGCGTTCCCCCCCGCGCCGAGCGGTTCGGTTCGGACGGCTTCCTCGCTCCTTGCTCGTTTGCCATCGCCGGGCGCAGGTTTGTGACAGAGCGCAGCGCCAGCTCCCCTTAGACTTCTGGCTCGCGTTGGGGTTCCCTGGCTGTGCAGCCCTCTTCCTCGCCCCACGTGTTAACCCTCGGGGCCGCAAGAAACAGGGACACACAGCCCCCATGCCCCAGCCTCCTGGGAGCACGAGGGCCTGCAGAGCTGCTGGGGGCGAGGGGACCCTCCCAGGCTGAAGGGGGTAACTTGTGGCCCAGCGCAGGAGCCCCCAGACCCAGGGGACGGGGCAGCCCGTCTGCTCCGGCGCGCCAGTAACGCACCCTGAGCGGGGCTGACCTTGCTCGGGAAGGCGTCCGCGTCGCTGCGCCCTACGGTTTCGCAATTAGGGATGCTGGCTACGAGTTCCCCGCGTGTGGAAGTGAAAAGCTGAGGCATCTGTTAAACGAACCATCGGCTTCGCTTGATTTTGTTTCCTTCTCTAACACATTCAAACACTGGTTAAGACGTTTGAGGCAAATGTGATCTAGTTTTAAAATAGTCTTAAATCTTTTCTTCAGTCTTCTGTGTAGCAGGGGCTGCCCAACCTGTCAGAACTTTGGTTTAACAATGTTTGTTGATTGCAGTGTTAACTTGGATCAAGACTAAAAGTAATTTTTTTAAGCAAAATGTTTCTTGCAAATAAACAGGGAAGACGTTTTGCTCCTGCTCAGCTTGCTTCTTTCTCCAGTTTCAGCTGGGGGACGGTTCCTAATAACACCACTGTGCTCCGCGGATGAGAACTGGGAGTCCCCCCCTTGCTCCTCTCGCCCGGCAGCGGGGTCTCAGCCTTTGCCCCGGCTGCCCTAGCGCTCGCTGGGGCTCTGTGGCCGGCGCAGCACACGGGGCTGCCGAGAGCTCGCTTGACAGGCAGCCAGGTTCACTCCTTGCTCAGCGACCAGCGCGGCGGCCTCTACGTGTTGGCCGCTGTGCTTTGGCGTAGGGAGCGGGAGAGCCTGAGCCTCGTGCTATGGGCTCTGCGCTTGTCGTTTGACCCCTGGTTTGCTTATCTGCCCCTGCTTTATCACAACCCAAATTGGCTTCTGCTGCTTGAAGTTGACTTTCAGCCTAAGCCCCCAACAGCTCTTGCCCCTGCTCTCCTGCTGACCAGGTACGGAGTCCCCTGGACCTGCCCAGGATTTCACTGGAAGGCAAAATAGCAGCAGCGTCGGGGCTCAAGCTGCGCCCGCCCCTGGGATAACTGTTCCTCCTAACGGAGCAGAGGAGCATTTATTAATTAGCGGAGTCCTTGAAGGAGATGAAGATGGCTGCCAAGCTGTCCCTGTGGCTGGAGGGAATGCACTTGAGCACCACGGCAGCCAGAGGGACCCGACAGCACCACGGGATGTGGATTTTTCGGAGAGGGGAGGAGGCTCGCCTCCAGAGCTGCCCTCCTGTCCATGCGCATCTCACGTGGTCCATGGGTTGTGCTGGAGCCTTTGGAGTTCACGCTGCTCAATGGCACCTAAGGACAGGAGGAGCCAGATCTGCTGGGCTCCCCATCCCACTGCCTCTCCCTGCAGCCCAAAGCCACCCCAGCCCTCTCCGGGCGCCGCGCAGCTCCCCGTGCTGCAGCACACCTCTGCCTGGCCTCGCGGCCGGTGTAGCCCCACTGCCCCCCAGCAGGAACCCCCCTGGGAGCAGCCCCTGTCTCTGGGAACCCAAAGCAGCAGAAGGCTGCTGCTGGCCCCCCCTCCGCCATCGGTGCTCAGCCGGGTCCCTTCCCCGTGGGTTCGTGCTCTCTGCTTTGTGGCACCCAGCTCTGCTATTTCTTTCTTTTTTTTTTTCCTTCTGCTCACTCGCTGTCCCGGGGGGAGTTCTCCAAAGGGCTGCCCTTTCCCGGCTGCTCCCAGCCAGCTCCCTTTGCTGTCTGCTCAGCATCACTTGACATTTGCTGGCTCCTTGCAGAGGTGCGGGAGGACACCGAGCAAATGCTCGCGGTGAGGGACAGAGGTGGTGGCTGCGGGCGAGGGAGCTGCGTCACCTCCCGGGGGGGGATCTGGGTTTGGTCTGGAGCCTCTGAGGCCACCCCAGGCTCGTTATTCGAGAGAAATCTCAGAGAAACTGGTTTTGTTGCAGGAGTTTCACAGCTCAAGAAACTGGGGCAGCGGTGCCCCTGGCCAAGGCAGCAGCTCGAGGGCTCTGCCCCGCACTGCGGTGGCCGTCCCAGCGTTTTGGTGGTGCAGCAGCCCGGGGAAGCCCTGGGGCCCCTTGGGGAAGGGGGCGCATGGATGCGATCCATGGTGCTGCGATGCCGAGACCAGGGTGCCTGTCGGACCGCACCGGAGCCGGTGAGTTCAGTGTAGCCACAAATACAACCCCGAGCTCCCCAGCTCCGCTTGTCCCTCCCTAAGGAGTGCTGGGGGCTCGGAGGAGCTACAAAAGAAAAGGGCCCTTTCTGGAGCCTGGGGGGAGAGAGTTTTTTCCTCTCTCCGCACACGTTCTCACCCCTCGGCTCGCGCTGTCCTTGCTCCCACCATGTGGATTTGGCGCCGCTCCCAAGCGCCTTCCTGTCATTAGGATTCCCTGAATTGCTGCTGCTCTACCTCTTCCAGCCGGGCTCTCCGCGGCCGCGCTGGCGGGGGCTCCCACTCCTCGCCCGGGGCCCCCGCAGCCGGGGGGGTGGCAGGGTTACGGTTACGGTACTGGTAACGACCTCCTCCTCGTTAAGCATCGCTGCGATGATGGGTGCGGGCAGCCCCTGTGAGCAAAGGGGCATCCCCCGGGATGCCGGTGGCTCCTGGGGAGCTTGGGGACACTGTGGCACCCCGACATGGCCCCCGAGTGCGGGAGCTGCCCCCAGGGCCGGGGCCGAGCTGGCGCCAGGGGCGTTTGGTCACTGCCCAGGGAGAGGCCGGGGTTTGCAGGGGGTTTGGCTGGAGGAGCAAGTCTGTACTGGCCGTGTCCCAGTGGGAACTGGTCACCCTGCCGCAGCCCACCCTGCTCCCCACCACTGCCACCCTGCGTGTCCCTCTGGCCAGGCACAGACCCAGCGCCTGTCCCCGCGTCGCTGCTGGCCCGGCGAGCTGGCTGTAGGCATTTTGGGGAGAGCAGGGCTGGCCGGGGCCGGGGGCTTTGCACAGCATCACTGCTGCCGGTGCCTCCTCCCCTCTCCCGCCGCTCGTCCCACCGAAGCATCAGCGTGCGATGCCATGCAGGCCCACGGGCACCGTCACCCTCTGTCTGTCCGTCTGTCCACACGGGGCCCCGTGCACGGAGTGAGTCCGTCTTTCCATTGTTCAAACAATCTCTTTTCCACACTCGGTGCCAAAGGCTCCCTGCTTGCTCCCGCACGCGCCAGTATATTTAGCTGCCTCCAAGCCTCTACCTTT